GTGTAACACTGGACATCGTACTCCAACGATCGTTCAGCTAACTCTCTCAGTAATAGGTATAGCATTGGGAAATGAGTCAAGAGCATTAGCAAGCACACATGACCCAAACAAGCTATCAATGCATTATGCACAGTAGAAGTGTTATTTCGATGATAACCGGATGCCCTAGGCACTGTGAGCTCAGACCACTGTAATGCCAACGAGGTTAATGTAACGCCACTGTTTAAGAATCACCACTACTCTAACAGACAGCATTCAAGGTGATTGACGTTTGAGACACTCAAAGGAGATCAATGAACTTCTGAAGGATAGAACCAACAGCTGGGACTCCCAGCCTAGGAGCTATAACGACTAGGGCGAGCGCTAAAGTGTTTATTTTAGCGCACGCCCTAATGTCTTTGCTGCTCATTTTGGTTGTCTCCAATTCATAGGCTGCTGCAACAGTAGAATGGAAGAAGTGAACAGAGCTCTAGTGGCGCTACGGGATGCTGTCGCATTACAGTGGCAGAGGAGAGACGAGAAGCCTTTCAATGAGTCCTACGTCATGGTGAGCTTCAATACGGTGTATGTCACTTTCAGTGTGGAGAAATATTCACATGGTCAACAACATATGTTGGTGACAGTATGAAAATTCTGGGAAATTCTGGTTGGTTTCTGTCTATTAGCGAGGAAACTTCTAGGGTCAGGTGAGGAAATATTACATATATACTTAATAGAGAGAAAATGAGCAATGGAGAAAATATCAAAACACTTTTAAAATATCTTTGCAATTTGTATAGGTTTTTACATATATTACAACACTGCTCATTTTTAAGCAATTCGTGATAGACCTGCATCGGAATATACTTGCTCTCATCAGCTCAGGAGTTTCCCCACTGCATCGCGGAATTCTATGTATGATCAGGAGTGGAATGCGCAAAAAAACGGCAAAGAAATTCTTCGAATTTCCGTAGAGTTGTTACCAATATATATGCGCTATTGACTATGTCCATGTGTATTGCTTCACACTAGATCAAATTGGATTTTATGAGAAAATTAACTATCATCGCACATGGGTGTAATTTTTCAGATAGAGGAACTCAGTTTTCCCACAACGGCTTCTAATGAGGTTTCCTCCAAGCGTTTACAGTATGCTGAAGGCTCCTATACGTGTGAGTACAGCAGTGCTGTCGTTCGCTGCAGTCTTGCTTCTTGTAGTTGAACACACGTCGTCCTCATTTTCTGGTCTTGCAATTTTTCGAGTGACCGTGAGAGTCCCTACGAGTATCGAACCCGTCTTCTTCTACATGTCAACAGAAACTCGCTCACTAGACACCAGTCGTACGAGGCAAATGAACCTGTGAGTTGTTGGCGGTCGCTGAAGTGGAATATTGTAACGCCTTCCTTAGATGCCAGATTTTGCAGCTGGCTCAGGAGCATAAGACACCTTTCGTTAACGTGGTTATGGGATCTAATACCAACGCATCGCAGCGTTCTCGCAAGAATAGTGGGATTATTGGTAAGTAAAGCGAAGTATGACGATGACATAATGCAGGTTTAATTTTGTAGCGGCTCTCCCATGGTAGTTTGATCATTAAAATTCTATTGTGGTGGTTTTGAATGCTTTATAAAATTCATTCCCTGCCACCACACAAATTACGAAACGCGTCTCTCGCTGAACTTGAGTAGAAATATTATTATTGTTTCCTCTGTGTGCCCGACTCACCTCGAGACGGCTCACATGATCTCGCGTGCATAACTCAGCTCCCTTCCTGGCGGCGGCCTCCAACGCAGCAAAGTGTCTACCTACGATATCGCTCATAAGCGGTACAGGTGCCAGAGGGTCTAATGCTCTCCTGTGTGGGGCGTTGAGACGGGTAAGTTACTACTCGAGTGATGGTGAAATTGATGATAATAAATTTGCAGGTTGTTTTGGTGGATGCCCCGGACTGCGCCTACTCTGTTGAGTCCTTATCAAGCATCGCTGAAGGAGGTAATAGAGTTCTACCCGTGAAAAACACTAGCGAAAAGCGCGCATGTGTTTTTGTAATTTTTCCGGGTCACATTATATCGCGTTTTTCACATGGAGTATTACACCACTTCGCGTAGATCGGGTGAACCTCCAATGTACATATGCGATTCTATTTTGTTCAGGCGCATGTAAAAGTCTAGATGCAGCTCACCTCTCGGGCGCTGGTGATGTATATTGGAGAGTTAAAGCAGAACAGGAAGGCTTTGAACGAATTCTTGGATACTTGGAGTTGGTCATCACTGCAACAACTGCGGGGATGCAACAAGAGGCTCTTGAGAATATCGATCCTATTGAACGGGAAATCAAATATGTTGTAAGTGGAAAAGTTATGGGAAACTTTTCAAATTTATCATGTCGTTTTTGGGACTGTGAAATGCATGCATTGTAGCTCATATGAATTTCTGACTTTGCCCGTGCTCAGTATAGTAGCAATGTCGACAGGGCCTCGCATGGGGCATTTTCGGGAATTTAAAATGATTAGAGTTGCCTGATAACCATCTCGTCTCAGCCTGGTATGAATCACGATCCCCGATGGCTCTGTGCTGGCCGGCCGACTCTGCATGGTCTTGAGCCGGGTATTTTGGACGTGGGTACATTCACTGAGTTCAGAGCAGGATTTGCCAAGGCTGCTGTGGTTGGTAGAGGACGTTTAGGAGGTAGGTATTGTGTCTTCGTAACAGAGAACTGACGTTTTAATGTTACCAAATGAGTAAGTGTAGAAAGACCTTCATGGTGCTATAATGGTGTTAAATGAGTTCTCATTTAGCGATATATATTTGAAGTTGTTCATGTGATGGAATCTTGCTAGGTATCCCTGTTGGCGTAGTCTTGTCCGAGAACAGGACCACTACCAAACAACTAGATGAGGAAGGGAAACCTATCGATGTATTATTATCATCAAGTCGTTATTGAGCTATTTCAACTCTTCTACCTCTCAGTGCGAGTTCCCACCCAATTCAGTGTCGGAGGCAGGCCAGGTGTGGTTCCCTGATTCGGCGAGGAAGACTTATGAGGCTCTCAGGTGAACTCGTAGGATATCGATATTGCACAGTAACGAAATCACAGTGGAGCTAGTGGTGGCCGCCACGCAAGATGGTATATAATGGAGTTTCATCCGGTCGTACTCTACTCTGCATTTGAGCAGTGAATAACGTGTTAAACTCGTGGTGCGTTTTCCATGTGATATGTAAAACAAGTGGAACTTCGATAAACAGTATTGTAGTTTCTGTGGAACTCGATCGAATTGTCTTGTTTTCTCAGAGACTTTGCTCAAGAGGGGCTGAAGGCAATTCTTATCGTGGCTAATTGGAGAGGTTTCTCAGGCGGTATGCGGGATATGTAGGATTAGTATCAGCAGTGTGATCTCGGGGTTATTGTATTACTGTGTAGGTATAAGGAAATACTGAAAGAGGGATCGCGTATTGTCGATGCTTTGGTTGCATGTGAAGCTCATGATGTTAGCGTGCTTACTTATATTCCACCATTTGGAGAACTCAGAGGAGGCTCTTGGGTCGTCATTGACAAGCAGATCGCCCCTAATAATATTGTGGTAGTAATGGTGTAATCGTTATGCGGTCGGGTCGGATTATGTGATGGGGATGGCCCGGGTTCTAATCTGAGTGTGAGCATTTTTTCAGGTTTTCGCCGACCCTACGTCTAAGATGAACATCATTGAACCGGCCGGGTTTTGTAAAGTCAAATTCCGAGATAACCGTGAGGTCACTCAGACAATAAAACGATTGGACGAGCAAATCATTGAGTGGCAAAAACAGGTAGTTGGTCACATATATAACAAGCCTTATGGAGAAAGGGATGAATATTGCTACGGACAAACGGTTTATCATGTCTCGTCACTTGTTGTTGGTTATTATCGTCTTGAGTAGTTTAATATCGTCCTAGCCTAAGACTCTTCGGTGAGGATATACAGTTATATGAATCAACTGCTCTGGGGTTTTAAACCACAGCGGCACACTTGTCATTGTGATTCACTCGCTAAATCCCAAATAAGGCCATGTCTTATGATTTGTCTATCAAACTCACTGTGATGAAGATGTTATCACTGTTGTTGCTATGGTGATGGTAACTGCTTTAGATTGACGAATCAGAATCAGCGGATGAGAAGCTTTCCCTGCAGTCATTGATAGTAAAACGTGTCGATGAGCTCATGCCCGATTACAAGAGGGTACGTCGTTAAGAGTAGCGTCATGGTTAAGATACCAAGTTTAGGTAGCATTGAAGTTTGCAGAGCTGCAGGATACGCCATATAGAGCTGTTAAGAAGGGCGTCATCCAGGATGTGTTGCCTTTTACTGAGACGAGGATGAGGATCTATTGGTCATTTCAACGGCGGATGGCTGTTTATGCCCTCAGGAGGAGGTAAGACTGTTGTTGCAGTGAGTACAGCAAGTTTGGGCTCATCGTGATGATGATGTTACTAGGGACTTCTTCCTTGGGGAATAGTGATAGTGTTGCTTCTATCGCATGGTTCAGTAGCTTGTTTCCGCGCAAGAATTATCTCGGCTTTAGCTTGAATCTCGTCTATTGTTCGAGTATAGGAAACTGTGGAGCGTATATCTAAGTCGTATGATTTCAAGCCTGGCTTCATCCATAGCCCTTCATTGTGAAGGGCATAGATAAGGGGTGGTGTAGTATCGATCAGCAATTAGAATATACACAGTACAACCGTGGAGATAGTGCATATTGAACTCTGACGTTTGGACGTCGATCGTTGTATGTGTATTAGATATGTAACCTTATCGCCGTCAACTGCACTTTCTGAGGCGGAGCGATGCATCATGGCCTGGGCCAAAGACGATGGTGTTGATATTGATGATGATATGAAAGTAGCTCAATGGGCACAACAATACGGCCAGGAGTCTCATAAGGTTAGTAGTCGACTTAACAGGAGTTGTAATAAAAGCAGAAAATTGGAAAATGGATTTCAGGTTGCGGCCTTTTCCCATCGTTTCGCTGTGGTTCGCCGTACTCATATCCAGTCTCGTGTACTTGAGCTAGCATCTAACAGCAGTACTGCTCGTTCAACCGTGGCTGCACTGGCGGCCCTTCAAAGCAGTTGTGGAGTGCCACGGAGACTGTCGGTTGCTGTTCAAGGAAATACCACTAAACGTAAGTGCGATTCGATTTACGGTTTACATCTACTGGTTGCGTTCAGCCCGCTCTGTGTCGGTTGACGCTTTCTCTGTGTCTACTGGGCCTAGCACTAACGGATCGCCTACACCCATCTCCCCTGAACCTGAGATACTCACACGCAGGCGACGCTGCGTCTCGAGCACTGCAGCTAGGTATGTGTTGTTGTGAACAGCAGCAGGAGCATTGTGTCAATTCCTATGTTAGTCAATCGTTGATCTCTATTGTTCGAGTTTCATATTGTGCGCATCGTGACGTCGATTCGGCGTCACTACTGTTTCTAATTATGTTTATGCGTACACATTTTCAACTGAGCATTGACGAGGATCAATGCTCAGTTGGAAATTTAGTGACGCCGAATTGGCGAAGAATAGAGATGAACTATCCACCAACACTATGATGACTATATTGTATTGGAATCTTCCTGATGATGCATACAGTATGTAGTAAAATCCCCGGGGCTTCCGTCGGCAATCTTACGTAACATTTGGAGGAGAGCTCGTGTCGCGAATGAATTAGCCAGGGAGAGAAAACTCCTTCTAACGCTAAGGTCGACTTAGTACGACCGAGTTATTTCCCCCACGAGTATAGCTGTGGATACAGGCGATATATAAGCTCTGGTGAATTTACGACTTACCATTCCAATACATGATACAGTCGGTCGTTGAGCAATGTCCTGTGGTTTGTAGTCTCCTCAATTCTATGATGGTAGAGTTTGCTGTTTCAGGAAATCGCGTTAAGGCCTGGTAGATACCCCTTCAACCGAGGATGATATTCGAAGCTGTTCACGCTTACCAGTTTACACTCCTGATCAGACTTCTCCCTCGGTGGTCCTCATGCTCTGAGTTTATAGTTTATACTTATGATGCCATTTTAATGGTATTGTTCACTCATATCCAGTATTAGGTCAGTTCTCATAAGAGCTGAGGTCCCAATGGTAAGGTGAACTTGTCCATATTGCTGTCCACTCGGCAGTGTCTGTTCTCGGCTAAGTGCTCGAGTTGATTGCTTATTCAGTCTCATGGGACCGCTTAAAGCACTCAACACAACACGCTCGGAATTGGACTTTATTCATTCATCTTCAGTAGATGGAAAAAATCGGCTTGAGTGCGATTTTTCCCTCTTCACAATTTTCCCCCTATTCCTATTACTAGACCATTTTGAAGTCTGGTGTGAGACTTCGGATGGTGATAGTTATGAAGTGAGCACAATTCCCCTTGGAGTGGTATGTGGAGAACTTCTTTTGTTAGTATTAAGCCGCCGATGGTCCTTTTATTCGTCCTCTTATAATAACTCTTGTGCAACACTGTAGCGAGAAACTCAGGTGTCTGAGCCTTACGTGCGTGATAGGAGGTGATGATGCATTCAGCATGGCGCTGGCCGCAGCACTCCAACGTTTTGCACGACTATAATGTTGACTTTAGTATTGGATGTTACAGTTCATCAGGCTAGGTTCTTATGCAATGTCTGAGGGGAAATCACATAAAGAGGTAGCCGACGTGCCAAGGAGTTCACTAATTTACGACTCAAATTAACGATTAGTGAAATTATGAGAAACTATTCATAACAGTTCTTGCAGGATCATGAACTAGCATCAGGCTAGGCCAAGGTTTCATAATTGTGCAGAACTGCACAGAGCCTTCAGCTTATTCGTGCGCTTGACTTTGCAACACTCTGTGAAGTCTACAACACACTGGTTTTAGTGGCGAGAGTCGGCCCCGCAGGTGGAGATCGGTAGCATGCAAGCCCCTGTGGTAGAAAGTAGTCTCCTCCTGGAATTGAACGCAAGACTGGAGGATGGCCAGGTGGCGCTCCTCGATCAAGTAAGATATACCTACACGTTGAGTAGGGTACTCGAATATTCTTCGTTTCACCAACTATCATACTCACTGTCCTGTCTATGGGATGTCAAGAGCTTGTTCATGTTCACTTCGTTGCAACAACGGCTGTGGAAGTCCTTAGCCGTCTGGCATCCGCTCGGTTGGAATATGTTATCGATTTCCTCAACTGAGCTGAGGAGTCTCCTCACCGATACCGATCCTGGTCGAGTGTACAGAAACTAATGAGAATTCCTTCAGCATTTCCATATTATCACCAACACACATAGTTGACCATGTGCATATTTTCGCGATGGTCTGAAAAAGTGTCAGCTGTCCTTCGAGTGGAATTGCAGATATCTATGCAAAGTTCGTGGATAGCGGAGCTCAGGGAGAAGATAGCCGACCAGGAGAAGCAGCTCAGCAGGATGGGTGTAAACGTCGGGTCATCAGTGTTGTTGTTGTTGTTGTTGTTGTTGTTGTTGTTGTTGTTGTTGTTGTTGTTGCTGTTGTTGTTGTTGTTGTTGTTGTTGTTGTTGTTGTTGCTGTTGTTGTTGTTGCTGTTGTTGTTGTTGTTGTTGTTGTTGTTGCTGTTGTTGTTGTTGTTGTTGTTGTTGTTGTTGCTGTTGTTGTTGTTGTTGTTGTTGCTGTTGTTGTTGCTGTTGCTGTTGTTGTTGTTGTTGTTGTTTTCGAGTACTGTAGCGCCGTCTTGAACGAAGGACGGCTTAGCATTCAAATGAAGTGGTTGAGTACCTAGGCCCTACAGCGTTCTGTGGAGACCATGGATCGAAAGAACGCCAATGCACTCAAGAAATGCAATAGAATGCACGAGGTGCGGTATCGAGAACTTGAGATGAAGGCACGCGAGGCTGAGGAGTTACGAGTATCTCTACGACGAATGGAAGTAAAAGGTGACACGTGGTGTACTGAGGCAATCACTAATGACAGGCGAAACTGAGTGATGTTAGACAGGGGGAGGCTGTGCATGCTGATAGGATTAGAGCTGCTGAGGAAAGGGCTGCACGATCTGAGAAATACATAAGGGCGATGGTGAGAGGCCCCAAGTTCGAACCCCAGTAACGCTGTTTTTTTCCTAACGGCGGTTGTTGAATTGAATTTATTAGAATGCTTCCCTCCAGACCCAGTCCTTGAGAGAAAGAGATGAAAAAGTTCGTCAGCAGTCATTGGAACTGCAACACCTCCGAAATGAAATGCGCGAACGAGATATTATATTGAACTTGGAAAAAGAAGACGACGAGAAAGCGGGCGCTGAAATCAAAGTGAGGGAGTGTATGTGATAGCATGGTGACGATGGGCGCTCTGGGAAGATGTCATTTCCCCTCTGAAACTCGATACTTTCACCAATGGTGTCGCTCAGAATAATAGGGGTGCCCTTTCTCCATCATAAGTCTGTATGCACACCTATGTTGACCGGAAGGTACAGCCTGAGGAGGGTGATCAGACAGAAGGGCTAGCCTCGGTCCGTAAGGAGGTCCTATTGAAGGCCTTGGAGTCTCGTGATGCAATCATAAAGGGTCTCAATGAGCGGCTGAGCTACATGTAGCTGCTCTCGAGTGTAAACCTCATTCAGTGGGTTGGCAGGATCGACCGTGAGAGGACCATCAATATGGAGCGCATTGGAGAGGCTCGCGAGAAGAAGCGGTCCTCGGCAGAGCTCGAGGACTGCAAAGCTGAACTTGGGAAAGCCTACGTGGAAATCGAGCGACTACGGAGAAAGCTCCCGACTGAGGGAAAGGACTCTGAGGTCAGCGCCAAGTTTCCTCAGCTTAGGAGGCATGAGTTTAGTACTTGCGACACGTCTACCATCATAATGTACTGATAACACTCCTAAGCTGATGATAAAACTTTACGACTTGGGTTGGACGTGGATCAGAAGCCACAAAAAATGTCCCGCGAGTTGCGCATTGTCATCAATCCGCGTTGTTGACTATGTGTGTATCTTGCCACATCACCATCATGTTGTTCTCTTTAGGAAGCTACTCGCTATGCCCTGCGGTTGGCAGATCGTCGGTCAAAGCGCGTATCGGCATCAAGGGAGAGAGTGAGTCCACCGTGGAACAACAGTCGGCCTGGTTCGGTGGTTCCGACTTCACCTAGGCATGTACCAACATTGAAACACTGATCATTTCCCTTATTGCGGGTCTACTTGTGTTCTCTAATTTCAGTCTCAACTGTGTATTATCACCTATAAGGTTGCATGGCAGCAAGTGGGGGGTGCTTGCAGTGTTGGAAAATGTATGCACTCAGTCGTGTGTTAGTGACATCATGAAAATTGTGAGAAATTTTGAAAAATCGTTGTTGGTTCTTGTATCTGAATTCGTTGTATTATTGAGGCAACTCCTGAGCTACGTTGAAGGAAGCCATCATATTCTCCAGCACTGGATGCTCCCGAGTACTTCCTCCCCCTGCAGTTTTTCATTGGTCTCGCCATGGGGCCTGTTGAGGACAGCACGGCAACTCCCCGATGTGGTGGTGACACGTTTACAATACGATCTCGGTCGACTAGCAGCAATACGAGCGGGGTCAGCTTTAGTCCTATCATCAACACCAAGTACTTCTCACCACAAGATGCTCCTTCTCGAGTTGGCCACAATCGGCAAGGGCGACAGCGATTGGTGACACCGAGGCCTCAACTATGCCAAAGGATATCTCCTGGGAGTAGCCAGGGCTTCGTACCACAACCAGACGCCAGATTCAGAGCTCGTCTTGCACGATTCTTCCAGGCCTTAGAGTCGACGATTGTGTCGCTGTGAAGCACCAACACATCGTGTAAAAGCTAATTAACTCATATCATGTTTATGTTGGAGCTAAACTATTGCTCCCCTTGTTTGGCTGCTCTCCTGTAGTCGCGTAGACGATCCACAGTATACACATCTCGGCTACAGTTATTATCGAAATCGGCCGCCGCACTGTACATGCAGTAACCTAATTAACTCCTCGAGCTAGCTCCATTACTTTGTTGAGTATGTGACTACGCGACAGTGTGTATGATGCACTCTCACATTGACATCGTATCTGTGCTTACACTCTGCTGCTTGTGTTGTTTCTCTAGTCGTATCAGTCGAGGGATGTATGCAGATTTGCGCATCTGTACTACTATAGTTACTATAGTAATAAATGGAAAATGAAGGTAACTAGCATTATAGCACAATCCGCTGAACGTTTTCCTGCGAGTAAACCTTACTGATGCACTCTCATTAGAGGAGAATCTCCAGCAATGCTAAAAAGGAGCGTCCGTAGATAAGACTCAAATTGTGCCTCCACAAATCGCTTCGCTCCGCTCATGCGTGTGGAGGGGAAGAGGGAGTGCCGTAATCTATCACTGTTAACTGCTCCGCCTCAATGTACGATGAGCATTGATCAATTCAGGGAAATATGCAGATGGTCAACTGCGTATGATAATGCTGAGGAAGTTCTTGTTGTTCTTACACATGTATGTCTGTACACTTCCATCCGAATTCTTATATTCGAAGAAACTCCCGACCACGGCTGGGAAAATCGCACACATTCCAACACCACCCGCGCCACTAATCATGATTTACGTAAGACAGTCTTCATTAGACTTGAATCCTCGAAATACTGAACCTCTTATAATAGTACACGATACGAGCGAATCATCCAAGAAACGAGAAACGAACGGTAAGGGATAACAACAAGTTCACTTTTCAGCGTTCTAGCGCAGAATAGGGTCGCTTTAGCGGCACTCAGTGGCACCTTAGCGGTGGGTTGTGTTGAACTGTTGTCGTCATTGTCAGTTTTGACGGTTATGACAATAGACTAGTATTACTAGTAGGACTGTTGGTTGGCCAAAAGACGCTAGTTTGTAAAGAGCCCAGCATACGGCTTTCGCCCTTCACGTGGCGACGTGACGTTGAGTAGTGAGTGGCTCGCGTCACGCCGTAGGGAGGGGGCGTAGGGAATGCTAGCAGTACGAGGCTATGAACCAGTCGACGCCCTATTGGTAATCTCATATACTATGTTAACTCGTGTTAGTCTATTAGCATACATATGTGAATCCCTGTGTCGTGGTGTTTTCCGATCTACTATTTGTCCTTCTATAGCAGGGAACGATACTGCTATCAACTTGTCGTACGGGATCCTACAGTTGTAATGATGAAGTCGCCCAACCTATTCTGAATGATAACTACACTTAGTTTTGCTGGAGACGCTTTTGTTATGGTATACTTTCTATTTGCTATACCTCAGCTCTTGCGTTTGATGCTTACTTATACTCACTTAACTCCATTGTCTCGGTGATTACTATCAATGGGTAGTTGTTATTATTAATCACCCCAATGACAGAATTCGAATCTGCAACCCTATCAGCTGAGGAAAAGATCGCCGAAAAAGGTAAAGTTTGGTCGGTCACTCGTCTCGTATCGTCATCTCCTTTAGGTTTGCCAGTCGATGAGGTCTATACCCCCTCGCCTGAGGTCATGCGAGGTTGTTATGTTTACTCTGATAAGATGTACAATGACATGTATCAGAGAAGCCTCAATGACCCAGACGCTTTCTGGACTGAAATGAGTCGTACTATTGATTGGATGAGGTAAGTAACGACTAATCGTCACGGATACGATCATTCCTATTACCTATGTCGTCGAAGAGTAGCCTATGCTCGATTTCACATTTCAAATTTTGAGCGAATTGCACGCATAGTCCAGCACAGTGTAGTATGTAAGTACTCCATACCATCTTTTGACGAACGTATCGTTGCACTGTGCTTGTCTAACTGATTCTAATTTTACATGGTCAATTCTATTCCTATAAAACTATAGTGTAAGAGTAGTAGAGACGGTTATCAAGTCGGTGAACGATTGTTCTCCTTCAGACCTTTTGATACAGTTCACTACGAGGACTTCAAAACCGGTGACGTGCGCTGGTTCCTAAATGGGAAGCTCAATGCCACTGTGAACTGTGTTGATAGATGGGCGGCTACTTATCCGTCTCGACCGGCAATATTATGGGAAGGCGATGAGCCCGGCACTGACAGGGTCATCACATATAAACAGCTCCTAGACAATGTAGCATGATAACACTACTCTGATGATGATGAGGTCTCTCTTGCAGGTCTGCCGAATGTCTAATATGTTACTCAGTTTGGGTGTTAAAAAGGGCGACAGAGTTACCATTTACATGCCTATGATACCGGAACTACCTATGATGATGTTAGCATGTGCCCGCATTGGTAGGTTTCACTATGCAGGAGTGCACAGAGTGGAATTTTCATAATGTTGTGAGTTAATTTCCCTCACTACATTATGCAATTTTTTACGCGACTTCAGGTTGAAGTTTTCGAAAAAAGGAAGAATTTTCCCGAATTTCTTCTGAACTCCTTGATATTTTCCCGTGGTGTTATAACATGTGTTATAACTGTTGAGATCTACTCGTTACTTTTGTAGGTGCTTTGCACAGTGTGGTTTTCGCTGGGTTCTCTGCTCCAAGTCTGAGGGACAGAATCAACGATGCCCAAAGTGCTGTGGTCGTATGTGCTGATATCGGTGTTAGAGGCGGCAAGAAGATTCTGATAAAAGACATCTGTGATGAAGCGGTGCAGGAAGTTCGCCCTGGGTTGGTACAGAGCGTTGTAGTTTTCAAGCATTATAGCAAACCTGGCATGGAAGGGAAATGGGTAATAACGACGATGGGAGGTGGTCAACCTGGTCGGAGAATTAGTGACACTCTGGAATTAGTCAGTGATGTTTTCTTTTCATTTTCGGTTGCGTGTATTTGTAGTGCTTTTCATGTTAGGACCCGTCAAGAGATGTTGATGGTTTCGAGTTGATGGCAGCTCAGAGACCTTATTGTCCACCTGTTGAGATGGATTCGGAAGACCTGTTATTCATGTTGTGAGTTACCCAAGGTCCCCGGTTCGAATCTCAGTGAGAGCACTTTTTAGATACACCTCGGGGTCTACTGGCACTCCTAAAGGGATTGCCCATAGCATTGGTGGATATCTCGTCTATACGACTATTACTCTCAAGTACGTTTTTGATGTCCACCCTGGAGATGTATGGGCCTGTGTTGCGGACTGTGGTTGGATTACTGGCCATTCGTAAGGAAGGGGAACCAGTGTTGGAATAAGTGATCGCTTTCCTCATCTGAGCTCAGAAGTTTCCTCGCTAGTTATAGATGTTTACACTAAAAGCTTTCGCGTATAGTTGTACAGGAATCACCAGTCGTTTCCTCAAAATTTCCATCTTGTCACCGACACATGTGGTTGACCATGTGCATACTTTCTCACTACACTGGGAAGGACGTTTCCTGATCGCCGCTTCGTCACGTAATGTTACGTAGGTACATAGTGTACGGTCCTCTTGCTAACGGAGCATCGGTGGTCCTATTCGAGGGGATTCCGACTTATCCTAATAACAGTCGCTATTGGGACCTTATTCAGAAGTATAAAATCAATCAGTTCTACACGGCTCCTACTGCGATCAGGTAATTCCGATTGTGATGGTATGAAATGATGAGCTCATGTGTTGTTTTAATAGAGCGTTGATGCGATTTGGTGCGACGCCGCTGGAGGGGTATGATCTGTCGTCGTTGAGGGTGTTGGGTAGTGTCGGTGAGCCAATCAATCCTGAGGCTTGGAGGTGGTATTATAATGAGGTCGGCAAAGGCAAGGTACCTATCATGGACACGTAAGTTGGGCGAGAGATGGTATGAGCTTATAACATGATGACAGGTACTGGCAGACCGAGACGGGCGGGATTATGCTAACACCGATGCCTTATAGAGCACTCAAGCCGGGATCGGCGACGAAACCTTTCTTTGGGTGAGCCTTTCTAAGGTCCTTAGTTGGGGGTAAAGTATCTCTGTTGTCAGCATCGAGCCAGCATTGCTGGACCCAATGACTGGGAAGGAGGTAGAGGGTAATAGTGTCCATGGTCTGCTGGCTATCAAGAGGAGTTGGCCTTCGATGATCCGTAAGAAGGGAGAGGTGTGGTACGGCTCGGGTAAGGTGGTTTTATCCAGGTACTGTGTATGGCGATCACAGTCGAATGACACAACTTTACTTGGAGCCGTATCCTGGTTACTACTTTACTGGTGATGGTGCTGTTAGGGATCATGATGGGTACAACTACTATGGGAGATGTAAGTGACTATTCATTGGCAGCTTATGTTGTCAGGTATTACTGGATAACTGGCAGAATCGATGATGTTATGAACGTGTCGGGTCATAGACTGGGCTCAGCTGAGATAGAGCATGCTTTAGTACAGAGTACAGCGGTCTCGGAAGCTGCTGTGGTGGGCTGCTCTCATCCGGTAGGTTTATATTCATTGGAGTTGTTGGTGTAGTGGTGGGATGTTTGGTTCTCTTGCTAGCGAGCCGGGCTCAAATCCCTGTGTTAGCCTTTGTGTGCATGTCAGGTAAAAGGCGAGGGTATTTTCTGTTACGTCATTTTGAATGAGGGGTTCCACGAGTCGGAGGATCTGATTAGAGAATTGAAGTAAGCCGCGTCCTATTCGCTGTATCGATGTTCAACTCGCTGGCTTGACTCACATCCTACTAAGAGCTTTTGGCCTCGGATTTTCCACTCCATTAGCAATTTTGCATCGTACATGTATGGGCGGCCGACTGCATAATTGCATATATGATAGCAATGAATCTTGGATGATTCGCATCATGTTGATTCTATGTCTGTATCGACTCGTATGATCAGGAACGAAGTAAGAAAGTCTATTGGACCCATTGCTACCCCGGATGTCATCCTGTGTGTTCCGGGATTACCCAAGACTAGGTCGGGTAAAATAATGCGGAGAATTTTAAGAAAGGTAGGGGGGTGTAGGAGCTCCTGGCTGGTATGGAGTTGCATGCAATTCAGGTGGCCAACAGGATCTATAACGATATGGGCGATACGTCGACTTTGGCAGAACCAGAAGTTGTCGAGGCCATTGTTATGAGAGCGAGAGCTCATCATGGCGAGGATATGAGGAAGGGAACTTTCTCAACGCACTTACAATGATTATCATAATTTCACTATTATTTCTCTATTATTTTATGAGCCTGCTCGCTGTGCGCGGAAGACTCTGACCGTTGGAAGCTGAGCTCAACGGTCGTATTCAGCTTGCTAGTCTTCTCTCGATTATCTGAAAACTTGATAGTAGAGTTGTGTTACTCTTGGTGAACTGTTAGGCGGGTAGAGTTCTCTGTATATTTCTGTAAGTGAGTTATCCGCAGCATCGCATAAGTCGTGGCCTATTTCTCAACGACACCAACTTTTTTGTTTACGAATAGAATGAAATATGCAACTAAATGATTGCAATTAGTATGTGGCAGTTTTATTAGGATACTCACTCGATTGGAAGCATCTACAGGCCTATCATTCTCCGCAGTCGGGTAACCGCAGTCACGCGTAGCGACATACTCGTAACTTCATATGGTAGAGCTGTGGCCACTTACATTACGTTCCTGCCCAGTTATCGGAGTTACGTAGAGCTGTGGCATCAAATGCGAGCCGGATGCAATTATTGCCCTATCTGGAGTTTGTCTAATCATCTGGCTCTCTGGTCCGAATCAACATGATGGATATCGGACCGTCCGATATCCATCATGTTGACAGACAGGAGTCATCTCCGGTCATACGGCTTCGACTCGATAGTTCTCTCGGTCGATATTGAGACGTTGCGTCCTCAGCACGTTGGGAATGTATGAACGTCTGAGCGGCTCTCCCTCTGTCTTCAAATCTCATCTCGTCATCACTGTCTGAATTGTTGAGTTACGTGAAGTGTTTCTCTCCATAATATGTTGTGTTGGCAGTCTTGTTGAGATGTGCAAGGACGTGCAGAGACACTCCCAATGTATCGGGCCTGCAGACTATAAAAAATTTCACAATGTCCTCTAAACCACAGCAGTTGCCGCCTTTAGAGCTTGCCTTCGATTGGGAAGTCCGACACGCCCATGGGGCCCTCAGTGAGCGGTAAGACGATCGTGGGCCACCAGTGAGGGTATCCAATATTAATCTGTGTTGAGTTCCGTGCCTGTCGTCTTCGATGCTCGCTGAAGCCCCCGTGACGCATACTCCCAACTCGACACCACAGTCATATAAAGATACGTTAGCTTGGCATTCCCCGATTGGCCGGGCCGAGCTCAACCATCCGCGCTCTCGATGCAAACTTCAGTGTTGACAAAGTCTGTGACACATCTGTGATGCAAGGCGACACCTGAACAGAACCCGTCGAGGCATAATCTTGGCACTGGTGACCTCAGCCTACACTTACGTGTGCTATCATGAGTACTTTGGCGCTGCCACCCAGCGAATCCTTGAGCATGAGGGTGAGCTTGGAATTACGATAAGGGACATGTATTTTGGACTGACTTCCTCCACCATCCTTTTGTTGTGCAGCCAGGAGAGCATTCAACACGTCACCCTAGGGCATATGAGAGGAATAGACAACCAAGTGAGACCAACAATACTGACCAGAGTACTCAGAGATTTGTTGATCATCTGGGCTTCCCTTAATGTACTGCCCTTAGCGCCACTCCGACCAACATTTTCGCTACCGGCCAGATCTGGGACGCTCGAGCACTTTTACTGGATTGAATGTGATTTCTAAGTAACTTACCGATGAGATTGAGTTTCCCGTGACGACAAGTTGCTGTATATGGGCATGGCAGACTCGTTCTCAGCGTGACAACACAGTGACTCCTCGAACTATGCGAATTGATATTGGTCGATGATGTTCGACGAGTTGCCACCGCCGCTTGGAAAGCCTGAAGAAGCCGGGCCATAGACACATGATCTTGGCAGCAAGAAGCGTGCGCACCTTCAGAGCGTCGTTCAGATTTTCTAGAGACAGTTCTGTAAGACCCTCGACAATAATGTTATCATTCCCTTCCCGAAGTTGATGTCCCGAGAGAGCCTTCACTATCGCAGGCCTGGTGTAGACAAATGCTGATTTTGGTAGAATCAATAATTCAATATAATAACCGAATATGGACCACCTCACTTTTCTGGAGCGAGGAGATCGTAGATATATTCGTTGTAGATTTCAACCATAGACATCGAAATCAGCATGTGATGCCCCCCTTGACCTCCTTTGGTACTGAATAAATCTCTCATAATCCGCTCGTGTAGTCCGCTGAGAGCAATAGCGCATCAAACTGGCCTGTTCACCAGAGTGCAACCCATTGTCGCCTCACACATGAGCGCTGCCCTCGGGAGAACCGAATACTGTGTAAGTCTTCCCGGAGCCTGTCGGGCCGTAGGCGAAGATGCATGAGTTGTAGCCATCTAGAACCTACAAACTCGTTTGAGTGTGTCACATTCTTTCGAGCGGACTTGAACAATCCGCGCAGTTGTGCTTACTGCGTGTACAAGGTCTTTGATAGAAGAATCATAGACGTCATCTTGTGATGCAGTAGGGCCGAATGCAGCATCCAAACGGATCGCTCTCTTTCTCCCATCCATCATATCGCACACAACCTGTCGGTTAGCCTGACACTCTCATATTCACTGAATACGACTCACTGTGTCGTCACTTATAAGATGAACAGCGACTGTCTCCCCGACTTCCTTGCCACTTAGTGGCCTGTAGTAGTAACTCGACCGGGGATTCGATCGTGGAAGGCTCACCGTATGCGAGCTACAACTCTTATATTGCCTCTCAACGATGATATAACTCCCCTTAGAGATCGATTCTCGGATGCTAGTTTTGCTAACCTGACCGATACTCTGACCGTCAGTACTGCTAGCCGTAGTGATTCACCTGTCTCGCAGATAAGCATTTTCTGAGTTCAATCGTTGAACATTACTGCAAGGCTGCTCATACGAAGAGGCCTAGCGTTGGTCATAACATCATCTCAATATTTCTGGTGTGTCTTCACTTGTGAATCGTTAGTAGAGCATGTCGCCGTTGCTGGGCATATTACATCTTTCGGTGTTTGACTGTACCGAAAACGGTTCACAATATAAGAGCGGTATGTGAGCCTGAATGATGATATTTATTGAGGCTTCGTATGCTTCCGTATGCAACCCTTTCTCATGTGCCTCCGACTGTATTTTCATCCGTCCTGTACCGAGAAATATGTCACTCCGCGAAACCGGTGCGGAGTTCCGGCATAAATCGGCCAGGCCTACCAACCTGAATAGTCGCTGTATTGATGCTAACCGACTAGCGCTGAATGGCTCATCAGGCTCAGCTTACCACGCTGATATCAACATGTCTGGTTTTTGATCGTTCGATTGAGTGCGACTATGCATTGCTGCTCGAGCGGATGTTGTCTGTATGGCTAGATCGAGTGTTCTGTCTTTGAGGAGCAGTGAAAAGCAGCACCAAGCAGGGTCGACTACGGTCTGTAAGCCTGAGTATCGAACTGTCTATATGCTGGGGTTTGCTCACACTGCATCTCTTGAAAGTAGTTGTGATTGGACCATGAACTATACCCACCACTCCGGACAACAGGATGCTTTGATGGCCTCCAACACTGAATGAGTTCTAATGCATATGTCTGCCATGCTGGTAGCACTTGGTTATGTCTTTTTGATTCCTCCAGCATAGTCTCGAACGGTCAGAGGAAACCCAGAAGAGCCTTCGGGTTCGCTGGCAATTACTGTAGTTGTACTTTGCGAGTAGAGTGCCACCATTGTTGCTGATATGAGCTACATATCTAATGTGACATCATTCATCTAAGATGAGTGTGGTCCGGACTGGAGCGCCCAGTTGACTACTCAGCAACAATTTGTTTATGCCCGATCAAAGCGCTTTTGACAGCAGCGAGCCACTCGCAACATTCCTCATAAGAAAGTGCACGAAAAATATGCTCAGATGTGGTGGATGGGGTACTCAGTATCTGCTGCGTGTTAATTCTACAGAAACCTGCCGTGAATTTCACTTGAAAAGATCTGTTGTCCAACCGTTCAGCTCCAAATAAGAGTAGCTTTTCATACCAATCTTGACTGAGAAGCATCACACGCATGACGTGGTATGCGAAACGGATACTTTTGCCCTACTATGCCAGTCGCAAGGTGGGGCCGACCGAGCTGAGCACAGCCGTGACTGGAGTATCGCGAGACTTGTCAAAGAGCTCTCCACGCATGATGAACATACTTGACAGGACAAATAGACCTCAGAAATGACACCGCCTTGAGAGTCGACCTCCTGATGGGCATCATGCGTATAAGCACTGAAGTGGATGCACTCGTCATTACCCACGGTTTTCAATGAGCGCGCCACATCTAATCAACAGCAACATGAATAATTCACACAGATTGGTGACAGGCAATAACATAATTATAATCACGAGAGTCGTGGAATGCTTCTTTAGTCATATACTATTGCCATATTATTCATCAGCCCTGGTAGCAACTCAACTCCTCCGCTCTTTAAAGACGGGTCTTAGATAGGTTGTGTGAGTTGCGCATCAGATAATAGGAAGTCAGAGCTGACACATAGAAATGTAGGATTATACCCACAACGGCATAAAAAGATGTTAGTAAAAATAGACTCCATGAGCGAGACCGATCGTTCACATGTGAACGGATCACGTCCACATCCACGTGATGATATTTCTCACGTGAAGCGTGGATCAACAAGGTTGATTCAACACATAGCTGTTCCTGGTATGGGTCGAATCCTACACTGCAGGCGCAATCAACATCGAAAGCGCCGGCATAAACATTCGTAGTTACCTACACTAAATAGACGAGTGGGTCACATACTGCTCAACGAATGCCTTACTACAGCATATAACAAGACAAAGAGGGAACTGCTCCAACGAGCTGGAATGTTATATATGTGTAGTCGGCACAGAGTTTCTGTCTCAATCAGCTTAATGACCATCGACTAATAAGGGTTCGTAAGTTGAAGTATCCCCCACGAAAAATTTAGCCGCCCATTCAGCGGGATCAAAATCAAATGTTCGGACAACGCTGTGAGGGTTTATGTACGACGTATGACTGCAGTTGAGCCTCTTGATAGATACCACTCTCGCCTCTCCTGGACATTTCCATTCCTTGAGCCTCGTCCAGTCGTTAATCTTCTTCTTAATACTAGCTTTCGTCTCGCACCCTAATCTCTTGGCCCACCTCCTCATGTCTCTATTCGTTCTTGGAAAAAGCGTCGATGTGAAATAGCTTTTCAGTCTTGAGTAGCGACTTCCAGGGACTGAACCATTCTATGGCACCACCCCATCGTCGGCACAGTGCACGCTGGCCACCTTCGGTGCAATCGAGGTCTCATTTCTATAGATAGTGTCGCATGTCTTGAACGCTCCTTGTAGACCGGGTTTCAATGCCAGTACGGCATTGACAGATACGGCTTTGTCCAAGACATTGTGGCACAACAAAGACTCGACCATCATGCCACCGTTGCTGTAACCGTAGCCATAAACCGGTAAGTTATTCTTGTTCTCATTCTTGAGGATCTGTTTGGTGTATTCAACATCATCAACATCATTGTCGCGAATACAGCAAACCCCAGCATTCCAGCCAGATGTGCTTCGGAACCAGCTGGAATAGAAACCGTAATAGCTGCCGCACGCAGATATCAACATGAAGCCATACTTATCCGCTATAGCGGCGGTTTTGGAATACTCCTCCCATTTTTCACAGCTGCTACTCCAACCATGATATTGAATCAGGATAGCCTTGGCGGTTTTGTTCCTTGGAAGGTGGCGATAGTAATAACGTGTTAAATTCTTTTTGCCCATCTCCATAGTAAAATTGAACTTTTCGCTGCATGGGATGTCCGCCACACCGAGATCAAGCCCACGAATATTGTTCCCCGGCTCACTGAGACGAATGCCTGGTCCACGATAGATAGCTGGAGACGATTTATGGACGCTGACTATGAAACTCGGGCTGGTATCATTAACGTAATCCTGCTTAGGCTCGACAATCATCGTCTGGATGGTGTAGTTCTCCGGCCGAACTAGGAGCTCGTTCATAAAAACGGTTTCTGAGAATTGTCGACTAACATCATCTCACTTATTATCACATTACCCTCGTCGTAGAAGTCCACCTTATATAGCTGAACCAAGTATGTAGTAGAATTGCTCACCTCCAGCCTGAGAGTTGGAGAGATAACAAATAGAGAATTTCACGTAGAACTCCAGAATGCTCCCTCGTAAATTTTTACTACGGTTCAAACTCGTACCTGAGGCCCCCATAACAAGGGTCTCAGGTGCGACTATCCTGAGAAATACGCGGGTCGGGTATATGGCGTAGAACGCCATAGAGCCGACGGGCAGATACTTCACTGAATAGCACGGAGAATGCTAACTCTTTATCGAATTCAAGACTATTCCCAAACTGGTCCAGCGTGGCTGAGAACACAGGAACCCACCCTATCAATATCGATTCCTCCTTGATTCTATCAGTAGCAGCATGGACGATCATACCGTTTAAGAACGGAGGAATGCACAATTCCCTGACACAATAAGAGTTCCCAAAGAACCCTTCTGCCGAGTACGCCGTGCTCACTGTATGAACCCAGGACTTCTCATACCGTGGAGGCACTCTTCGGGGACGGGACTGAGACCATTCGTTGAGAGCGCATGAATCTCCGAGTCATCCATCAGAGAAGCAGTCAGGATCAGCAGGATATGGAGTAGTTTCATATAATGGTGGATCAGAGGCTACTGAGAGAAGAGCTCCCTAGGCATGGTGTTCCTCCGCAACAGCAAGCGCCACCGATAAACGCAATAAACTTCAATGATTTGCTCGTGGGCTATTCGGCACTCTATACTTATAGTCTTTCCATCCAGGAAGTAGCTACCCCAAAAACAGGTGAGTCGAGCGCCTCGACTCAACTCGAGTATGCCGATCTGACATTGCCGGTATCAAGGTTGTGTACCTGCTTCGCGCAGAAGAAGATAGGCTGCGCACAATGTGGCTTCGCACAATGTGGCTGCGCACAAATATTTGCCAAACATGGAATCCATAGGCGTGAATATCCACGAGGCATTAAGGAGTGTTTCCGCGAGTTCCTGGCTGATCTGAAGCCGATCACGATAGGTATTACCGTGATCGTCTTCAGGTTAGTCACGGATAGTGCCTCGGCTCCCAATAGTTAGAGGTTTCACATGAAACTGACCCCAAGATACTCAAGCGCATCAATGTGCATCAACACGTGAAATATCCTTAACGTCCCGTTTTTCGACACGTGAAATGTCCCTAGTGTCCCGTTTTTCTCCTTTGTCGCTTTCAGGACTTGCTGCTGACTTGTCAAACATGTTACCAAATTGGGAATGACTAAATATTAAGAGACTCTGATGAAATGTAATAGCTTTACGCATCCATTCAAGCTTCATGACGGGATCTACCACGGGGTAGTGTTGAATATACTAGAATGTACATGTGTATCGGTAAATCGGATGCATGCAATTCGTGTACTATATGTATTATGATGATTTGTTCGTACTTGGAGCAAAAAGTCTAGTACAAACGTTTGAAGCTATCCTGTGTAGGATAGCTCCTTCGTTGGGACTCCCAACTTGGGAGTAGAGATACCAGAAAAAAAGAAGACGCACTTGAGTAGTGACTTCGAAGTTTCTCACCTTAGTCCGGGAAATCTCGAGTAGTAATGAACTCTCTACTGACTGCCCCAGTATAGATGCTGGAGAGGTATTGGTACCATCTGTATTGAGCAAACGGCAAGCTTTTGCACTATGTGGGCGATACTTCGACCCAACCTATTGCTATGCACCGGCTCGTTTGGCTATGAACCAGTTACGGACGTGGTTTGATCATGCCACGGAAGGTTAAGATACGAAGTATAAGCTCACTCCTCAAATGAAGCTTGCACTGGAACAGTTAGACCTGGGTGCTTCGGCCGACTTTGTTAAGCTGGTTCCCTCACATCAATCGTCCGTAAGCCTTGTTGAAAAGATTGAAGGCAAAAGCCTTACAGTTCTTGGTTTGGATAGCAGTCGAGATGGTTCATGGGAGCCTCCGAGATCTACAGCTGAGAGAGACTCTGCTAGGTTTTCCATGGGTCCTGGCGGCATCTTTGGCGATGCATTCACTTGTACTGCACATAAGAAGATTCCTAAGCGGGTAAAAGATTGGCTTGAATCTATAGGTGTTTCGATACACTGATCCTGCCTTCAAGGCAGGATGACTGCCCTGGAGAAGATTTTTGAATCATCTCCTGTTGAGTATATGACGAGATACGGTAATTCCGAACCGGTTAGCCTTGTCCTGGCATCATGCGGAGCCAGTCTTGACCGTATGGGGGGTTGTATTTGGATGAAGGGCCAGACGTTCTGGTTTGCTTATCGGTTGAGTGACCTACCACAAAAAACCAGACAGAAAGTTCTATCCGGTGGTACAAGACCAACATCTGCAAATATGGTGACACTTGAGCTCTTAGCTGCTCTCATCATGCTCAGCTTCATTTCTGAGCTAGCTGTTGATGATCGAATACCAGTACTGCTCATGGTCGACAACCAAGCGGCCATAGGCGTGCTCAAGAAGCTGTACTCTAAAGTCCCTACTGCGAGAGTTGCTTCTTGCTGCTTTACCTTCTTTTGCCACATTGTTGCAGGACTATGAAGTCATATAAAGATACGTTAGCTTGGCAATGCCAAGTTGGCATACTCAGGTTGGCCGGGCCGAGCTCAACCATCCGCTCTTTCGATGCAAACTTCAGTGTTGACAAAGTCTGTGAGACATCTGTGATGCAAGGCGATACCTGAACAGAACCCAGACCGTCGAGGCATAATCTTGGCACTGGTGACCTCAGCCTACACTTAAGTGTGCTATCATGAGTACTTTGGCGCTGCCACCCAGCGAATCCTTGAGCATGAGGGTGAGCTTGGAATTACGATAAGGGACATGTGTTTTCGACTGACGTCCTCCACCATCCTTTTGTTGTGCATCCAGGAGAGCATTCAACACGTCACCCTAGGGCATATGAGAGGAATAGACAACCAAGTGAGACCAACGATACTGACCAGAGTACTCAGAGATTTGTTGATCATCTGGGCTTCCCTTAATGTACTGCCCTTAGCGCCACTCCGACCAACATTTTCGCTACCGGCCAGATCTGGGACGCTCGAGCACTTTTACTGGATTGAATGTGATTTCTAAGTAACTTACCGATGAGATTGAGTTTCCCGTGACGACAAGTTGCTGTATATGGGCATGGCAGACTCGTTCTCAGCGTGACAACACAGTGACTCCTCGAACTATGCGAATTGATATTGGTCGATGATGTTCGACGAGTTGCCACCGCCGCTTGGAAAGCCTGAAGAAGCCGGGTCATAGACACATGATCTTGGCAGCAAGAAGCGTGAGCACCTTCAGAGCGTCGTTCAGATTTTCTAGAGACAGTTCTGTGAGACCCTCGACAATAATGTTATCATTCCCTCCCCGAAGTTGATGTCCCGAGAGAGCCTTCACTATCGCAGGCCTGGTGTAGACAAATGCAACTCTGATTTTGGTATTAGAATCAATAATACAATATAATAACCGAATACGGACCACCTCACTTTCCTGGAGCGAGAAGATCGTAGATACATTCGTTGTAGATTTCAACCATAGACATCGAAATGAGCATGTGATGCCCCCCTTGACCTTCCTTGGTGCTGAATAAATCTCTCATAATCCGCTCGTGTAGTCCGCTGAGAGCAATAGCGCATCAAACTGGCCTGCTCACTCGAGTTCAACCCATTGTCGCCTCACACATGAGCACTGCCCTCGGGAGAACCGAATACTGTGTAAGTCTTCCCGGAGCCTGTCGGGCCGTAGGCGAAGATGCATGAGTTGTAGCCATCTAGAACCTACAAACTCGTTTGAGTGTGTCACATTCTTCCGAGCGGACTTGAACAATCCGAGCAGGTGTGCTTACTGCGTGTACAAGGTCTTTGATAGAAGAATCATAGACGTCATCTTGTGATGCAGTAGGGCCGAATGCAGCATCCAAACGGATCGCTCTCTTTCTCCCACCCATCATATCGCACACAACCTATCGGTTAGCCTGACACTCTCATGTTCAGTGAATACGACTCACTGTGTCGTCACTTATAAGATGAACAGCGACCGTCTCCCCGACTTCCTTGCCACTTAGTGGCCTGTAGTAGTAACTCTACCGGGGATTCGATCGTGGAAGGCTCACCGTATGCGAGCTACAACTCTTATATTGCCTCTCAACGATGATATAACTTCCCTTAGAGATCGATTCTCGGATGCTAGTTTCGCTAACCTGGCCGATACTCTCGACAGTACTCCTAGCCTTAGTGATTCACCTGTCTCGCAGATAAGCATTTTCTGAGTGCAATCGTTGAACATTACTGCAAGGCTGCTCATACAAAGAGGCCTAGAGTTGGTCATAACATGATCTCAATATTTCTGGTGTGTCTTCACTTGTGAATCGTTAGTAGAGCATGTCGCCGTTGCTGGGCATATTACATCTTTCGGTGTTTGACTGTATCGAAAACGGTTCACAATATAAGAGCGGTATGTGAGCCTGAATGATGATATTCATTGAGGCTTCGTATGCTTCCGTATGCAACCCTTCCTCATGTGCCTCCGACTGTATTTTCATCCGTCCTGTACCGAGAAATATGTCACTCCGCGAAACCGGTGCGGAGTTCCGGCATAAATCGGCCAGGCCTACCAACCTGAATAGTCGCTGTATTGATGCTAACCGACTAGCGCTGAATGGCTCATCAGGCTCAGCTTACCACGCTGATATCAACATGTCTGGTTTTTGATCGTTCGATTGAGTGCGACTATGCATTGCTGCTCGAGCGGATGTTGTCTGTATGGCTAGATCGAGTGTTCTGTCTTTGAGGAGCAGTGAAAAGCAGCACCAAGCAGGGTCGACTACGGTCTGTAAGCCTGAGTATCGAACTGTCTATATGCTGGGGTTTGCTCACACTGCATCTCTTGAAAGTAGTTGTGATTGGACCATGAACTATACCCACCACTCCGGACAACAGGATGCTTTGATGGCCTCCAACACTGAATGAGTTCTAATGCATATGTCTGCCATGCTGGTAGCACTTGGTTATGTCTTTTTGATTCCTCCAGCATAGTCTCGAACGGTCAGAGGAAACCCAGAAGAGCCTTCGGGTTCGCTGGCAATTACTGTAGTTGTACTTTGCGAGTAGAGTGCCACCATTGTTGCTGATATGAGCTACATATCTAATGTGACATCATTCATCTAAGATGAGTGTGGTCCGGACTGGAGCGCCCAGTTGACTACTCAGCAACAATTTGTTTATGCCCGATCAAAGCGCTTTTGACAGCAGCGAGCCACTCGCAACATTCCTCATAAGAAAGTGCACGAAAAATATGCTCAGATGTGGTGGATGGGGTACTCAGTATCTGCTGCGTGTTAATTCTACAGAAACCTGCCGTGAATTTCACTTGAAAAGATCTGTTGTCCAACCGTTCAGCTCCAAATAAGAGTAGCTTTTCATACCAATCTTGACTGAGAAGCATCACACGCATGACGTGGTATGCGAAACGGATACTTTTGCCCTACTATGCCAGTCGCAAGGTGGGGCCGACCGAGCTGAGCACAGCGGTGACCGGAGTATCGCGAGACTTGTCAAAGAGCTCTCCACGCATGATGAACATACTTGACAGGACAAATAGACCTCAGAAATGACACCGCCTTGAGAGTCGACCTCCTGATGGGCATCATGCGTATAAGCACTGAAGTGGATGCACTCGTCATTACCCACGGTTTTCAATGAGCGCGTCACATCTAATCAACAGCAACATGAATAATTCACACAGATTGGTGACAGGCAATAACATAATTATAATCACGAGAGTCGTGGAATGCTTCTTTAGTCATATACTATTGCCATATTATTCATCAGCCCTGGTAGCAACTCAACTCCTCCGCTCTTTAAAGACGGGTCTTAGATAGGTTGTGTGAGTTGCGCATCAGATAATAGGAAGTCAGAGCTGACACATAGAAATGTAGGATTATACCCACAACGGCATAAAAAGATGTTAGTAAAAATAGACTCCATGAGCGAGACCGATCGTTCACATGTGAACGGATCACGTCCACATCCACGTGATGATATTTCTCACGTGAAGCGTGGATCAACAAGGTTGATTCAACACATAGCTGTTCCTGGTATGGGTCGAATCCTACACTGCAGGCGCAATCAACATCGAAAGCGCCGGCATAAACATTCGTAGTTACCTACACTAAATAGACGAGTGGGTCACATACTGCTCAACGAATGCCTTACTACAGCATATAACAAGACAAAGAGGGAACTGCTCCAACGAGCTGGAATGTTATATATGTGTAATCGGCACAGAGTTTCAATCAGCTTAATGACCATCGACTAATAAGGGTTCGTAAGTTGAGGTATTTCCCACGAAAAATTTAGCCGCCCATTCAGCGGGATCAAAATCAAATGTTCGGACAACGCTGTGAGGGTTTATGTACGACGTATGACTGCAGTTGAGCCTCTTGATAGATACCACTCTCGCCTCTCCTGGACATTTCCATTCCTTGAGCCTCGTCCAGTCGTTAATCTTCTTCTTAATACTAGCTTTCGTCTCGCACCCTAATCTCTTGGCCCACCTCCTCATGTCTCTATTCGTTCTTGGAAAAAGCGTCGATGTGAAATAGCTTTTCAGTCTTGAGTAGCGACTTCCAGGGACTGAACCATTATATGGCACCACCCCATCGTCGGCACAGTGCACGCTGGCCACCTTCGGTGCAATCGAGGTCTCATTTCTATAGATGGTGTCGCATGTCTTGAACGCTCCTTGTAGACCGGGTTTCAATGCCAGTACGGCATTGACAGATAC